GTTCAGCTGGTGCCCATCCCTGAGACTGCTGAATCTGTGCTGGTGGAAGAGTCCAGCATGTCAGTGTTGGGCGCTGGGCACCTTGCTTAATGGCTCACCTGTACTAAGGGCTCCTTTCTCTACAAAAGGCTTTATCCAGTGAATGTTTTAAAGGGAAACCTAACCCATGGAAATTCTTCCGCATTATGCGGAATATTTCTCAATCATTCTTACGTTTTTCTGATGACTAGCTAGTTGTTGGGACTCTCACTTTTTACATAAAAGTGACAAATACCCTGTAAAATAGAGTTCCCAGGTAGATTCTGGTACTGAGCTTAGCAACAGGAGGGCAGTGTGCTTGTGCAGGACTCCTTCTTCCCTCCTCCCCCTGCACATGCTTTCCCTTGAATCCAGAAGGACAGAACGAGGAACCTAAGAATCCAATTAGGTTTATTGATACTTCAGTCTGTAAATAATCTAGACATGTATGTTCAATTATGAAAATAGATAAAAGCATTTTATTAAAAATGTACAAATTATTAAAGGTCACAATATTTAATAGCTGTTAAAACTGGCTTTCAAGCCTGGTCTTTTCAGGAAAGTCTCATCCTACGAAGTTTGGTAGGCTGGTAAGGCTTCAAAATATTTGTGATTCTGTAGTTACAACCAAATAGAAACCAGCTGAAATTAGCTAGTGAGTGTGCCTGTTTTCTGCATAGGTGTCATTGGGTGAGCTTCACACACGTTTCAGCCAGGTGCAGAGCAGACCTGAAAGATAAAAGGAAGAGATGGGTAGTCAGTATGGCAGTGCCTGTGTTTCTCATTTGTGTCACTTCAGCCTGCAGGCAAATTCTTAGAAGAGAAATACAGAACTGGTTAAGACTGCAGTAAGGCAGCATAAACAAGTGCTGTTTCAAAGCCTGCACTTCCTGTGGGCCTGCTGTCTTCACCTCTTTCTAAGTTCAGAAGTCTTACAGGTAGCAAGAACAAGAGAGATCTGATTCCTGAAAAACAGGATCTCCATGAGCTTTTGACATGGTTCCTGTTTAGCAGTAAATAACTGAGCTCTTGTTTTGGGGCACGTCTAAGATCCTGCCCCTTCTCCCTTCCAGGAAGGAGGCAGCAGGTTTGTGCCAGAGGGTGTTTACTGTGCAGTGTACAGCGTGTGTCCAGGGTGGGCAGCCATGGCAAAATGGGAAGCTGCTGCCTGGGTGCTGGTAGGAAACCTCTGGTGGGAAGGCTAATTCGCAATTTTGAAGCTCTTGCATAGCTATTGCTTGTGCTTCCTTGGTACCACTTAAGGACTGAATTAAGTGAGACATCAAACTATTGGAGCTGGGGGAGCTACCTCGAATTAAGCCACTGGAGTTCTAAAAATTGAATTTAAGAGATGTACATGACCTCAGAAATAAAAATAAACTTTCTACTTTGGCTGGTTTTGCATTAGAAGACTAAAGGGTTTGGTTTTTTTTCTACCCCCCCTCCCCGGTTGGTTAGGCTGAGTTAAAAAAAGGAGGATTAAAAAAGCTGCAGTTCAATACAGAGTTAAAACCAATAACATGGCACTTCCTTCCCCCACCCCAAAATACATGCACCAACACCAACTGCTATAGCTGTGTCTACAACCAGTGCAAGGAAGAATGAACCATGGCCACGGAAAACCTTGGGGCTTAAATTCTGTCTGTGCTTGGTTAGTGACAGCCAGAGGAAACATACTTTGTGCTGCAGTGACCTCCTCCCACATTAGAGTACAGGCAGAAACTTGAAAAGACAAAAAAGACCCCAAACACAACTCCTGAAGAAGTCTCCTGGCAATTGCTGCTGTTGGGGCTGCCTTTCCACACCACAGTTACCCAGTGTTAACACCTTCTGAGATGCTGAACCTCAGCTTGACTGATGAAGTGGGCAAGTCTCTTGGTGCCTACAGCCTGGCTTGAACTGCTTCACAAAGTGCATCCCCCTGTGCAAGGGCCTGGGCACTAGTGCAGTCATTGAAGGTGTCCTGTTCTCCAGCTAAATGGGCACAACTGTCACTCTCATGTCCAGGTAATTGGTAAATGCATTGGTTATTGGATAGTCAGGGGCCATTCATTCCAGTCTTAGTTTCTCCTTGTCCCAAAGTTCTTTGGTATTCAATGAGCTCTGCGACACACAGTGCCCAGGTTCCTCCACACACTCCTTCCTCACCCTGGTGGCATCTGTTTTAACTGGGTGGTTGTATATTTGGTGTACAAGTTGCAAGGGTTTGTAGGGGTGGAACCACAGCCATCTGAATGGTTCAATTAATTGGGGTTTGCTGTACTCAGAGGAGACAGGAGCCACTAGCTTCCTGTTTGCTTGGAAAGCACTCAGGTAGCTTTGGTGCCTCAATCCTCCTTTGCACAGCTGCAGAGTCCAAGGTGGAGCTCTCCGGAGGGCCAGGCTTAGCTCCTGGGCTGCTGCCCAGCTTTACCCAGTAGCCAGACACTGGGCAGGAAGTACAGGCCTCCTACAGCTGCAGATTCCCAAATGCTGGAGAGCTGAATACTTGAAGTGTCATGTCAGGACAGTCAGATATCAAGCAGAGGTCTATGTTTATCCCCTCCTGTCATAGTTAAACTCACATCACCTCTGACTAAAGTCCAGCCAAGCAGTAGTGAATATTTCATCTGCTTAAAAAACCCACAACAAAACAACCACCAACCCCTGTCTGTGGAATGTCACTGGATGTTACACTTGGCAGAGACGTGATCTCTGTGGATTAGGACTACAGTAGAACAAAAGCTCTCTCCCCAGTAACCTAAGCAGTCTTCAGGTCTCCCGAAGAACAGGTGAGGGCCATGTAAAGATCAACCTGAGTCACTTCTGACATCAGAGATGGATGCTGGACACAAGGCTACCCTTTTCATAAAATGAAAAAAAAAAAAAGCAGTAACTGGGGCCACTTGGGAGCATATCAAGCACTGCATTCACTGCTGGGACCTCTCTGAAAATTCCTAAAAAACACTGCCCTGGAACAGTTGTAATTCTGACAGTACCTCCTGCTGAGTGACTAGGGGCAAGGATGGCAACACAGTCACTGGTGAGTGTATTTTAACTTTTGTTTAGAAGAAAGGTGGTCTGTTCCCAGACATGCTTACTGTGAAAAAGACATCTGTAATGAGGGAGGAAAGAGTTTTAGTGGCTCAGCCATACAGAGAGCACAGGGAGAGTGCAGGTTCCTGCCAGGGAGGGGATGGCTTGCAGGAGGAGATCTTTGGGAGGAAGGCAGAGCAGAAGCATAGGAGAACAGTCCTAGCTGGAGGTAATCCCCAAGGATTACCTGCCAGCCTGTGCTCTCACTGGCTCAGCTGGCCAGCAACCCCTTCTGCAGCCTGGGTCTTTGAGGGGAGTAATCCACCAGGACAAACCCTTGTTTCTGTCAAACTGATGGACATCAAAGCAGCTCTCTCAAGTGAGAGGCATCCTAGCTTTCACATTCACATACACATACCTGATGGGCAGTGTTGAGGTTTCCAGCAACCTTGTTTGGACATTTGGTTGCTCTACAATGCACATTTATTTAATATTCTGTATTTAGTACCTCTGTAGAAGAGGAGCTAAATATCTCTTATCCTCCTGCCTTGGAGTGAGTTCCAATGTACAAGAGACACTCAAAGATATAAATTTCAAATCTGAATTTCTCAAAAAGTTTCACAAGAGGTGTAAGTCCCATAATTAAACTTTTGACTAACTTTACACAGTCCTGAATGCATTCTGCTGGATACCATTATGAAGTATTAGTGCCAGCTAGTAAACATTAGTGCAACACCCTGATACACAGCCCATGCTGTAAGGTCAGGCCATGTTATCATACTGGTCCTTTTTAACTCTATGAAAACGAAAATTATAGTGTGAGCATCATCATCATGGCACATGCAGGTAGTAATTCTGAAAAAATATTTAGCTCCTTTCAGTAAGAAGAGATTTAATACCATTATTTTAAAAGCATGTAATTCACTTTTGAGAACGAGAAAGATGTTTTCAAAAACTGTGGACTTGCTTTGGTCACTCCTTCAACAAGGATTCTAAAAGCCTTTTAGCTCATGTGGCCTGTAAGGGAATGCAGCATGCAGCACAATCAGGTCCTTTTATGATAACTTTTTTCATTCATGTTAAAACCCAGAATTTTCCTTAAGAGTGTCAGATGAGTTGTCCATGAAAAAAAGATTCTGAACATGCCAGAATGTAGCTGGATTTAAAGACATCATTTTCTTTCTGTCTGTTTGTCTTTCCTCCCATACAGCAAAGGCTAACACTAGAAATAAAAACTGCAGTGGAAGTAACCTGATTTTTGAAAACAAATCCTGTCAAGGCTCAGGGCTTTGTCAGTGTTTGTTGATTTTTATGTGTAATTTCCTTTAGGCCACCTAGATTCAAATAAATGATGCAATTTTAAATTCTGGGACTTTTAAATTACACTCAAGTAACTCTTCCAAGGTAATAGGAACAGCTATAACTATGTTGCAGAATTGACAGCAGTGCTCCAAATAGAATTATTTAGATAATGTTTCTTTCAATGTGACACTGCTATGATTTATTACAAAGCAAACTGTTGCCTTTCTGCAAAAATAGGATAATACTTCTGGAAGTGACAAAACTAACTAATTCCCAATCAAAGGACAAACACCCAGTGACTATCCAGACTAAAAAGTGCCTATGGTAAAATCTGAGTTCTTCTAGAAGTTGCCACCTTGCTAAGAGTTGTCCGTCCTCCTTTCCCTTTAATGGACATCGTTAAGATTCACCTTTTTTAAAATTCTGTTAGGTAAACCTGCCTTTGCTATGGAGTGCTTGTCCTTACATTTTTAAGTGCTTAAAAAGCCCCAAAGAACAAAAAAAGTCCAGTCATTTCAACCCTAAAAATGTTTCAGACACTTCTTTCTTCCTTTTGTCTTGAAGTGTTTGCCAGATTCAACTCACATCTGCAAATAGTTTTCATCCTCCTCTCCTTTCCTCTCCCCCCCTCTCCCTATACATAGGATATAGAAAAAAATACCTACTTCTGCTCATTTCTTTTCATCCATCCAGGTTTTTACTTGGTTCCATCTGTGTCCTGAGATCGGCATCCCGTTTTTTTTCCTGAAATATGCAACTGCAGTTACTAGTGGCTTATGTTCCAAGATACAACAGCACATTTAGCTTAGTGTATTTTACACCACCTTTAAAATATTAGGTAATGATTGGTTTCTTCCACTTTCCCTTCACCCAAAAAAAAAAAAAGATTAATTGATTATAAAGGACAACTGCTGAACAATGCAGTAAAATATGAAATCTGATGTCACTTTTACTTTTGATCAACACTGACTCTGCAATTGTGTGTTTTTAATATTTATCTCTATTCTAACTACATGCATCTTTCTGTAGTTAAGAGCTTCCATTTATGGTGAACTGTTCTTTAGTTTTCTTGAAACAATTGTCTGATATTCCTGGCAGCTCTTTTGGGCTGAATTCCAGTTCCCAGAGAAACAACACTGCTTTATATAGCTGCAAATAGATTTTTAGGGCTTATTTTGTAATATTTTTTATATCATTCTTCACTTCTGAGTGTTCTCAACTTAAAGAGTATCCTCTGAAGCACAATTAACTCGTAATGAACATAAAGAAAGCAGCTTTTGCTGGTCAAGTCTTGATAGCAGTGTAGTACCTGAATGACTTTTTTCCTCTTTTGTATGATCTTTGTACTTCTGTCCAACTGCATAAGAGCACACTCACTTCCAGATAAAGTAGATTATTAATAGCAAAATTCCTATGGACCATGTAAAGGCAGTTCACATTACCCAGAGTGTCTCCTTAAAATGGGAGTCTTAATTTCTCTTCTGAACAACCACCTTCTTAGCCTGTCTACAGAGAGAACACTGTGGTTGCCCTTTGCCAGTAGTTACTACGCACTGATAACCTCACACTATCTTGAGCTACCAAGTTTCATCTACTACAACAGGAAATGCTGTAAAACCAAATACAATGACATGATTAAAAGCTTAACAAACTATGGATTTTATTCCCCTAGGTTAAATATTTACGGAATTCTACAGGTAAAAAGCCTACAAAAATAGTATGATTTAAATGTTTTTAAGTTCTAAGACAATTCATGTTCTGTTTACTGCTAGATGTGCTACTAGACTAAATATCCTACACTGAATGTCCTTTGTTACTCTGTTAACAGATCTTCAGTTATCCTGGGCAAACTCACTAGTTTGCAAATTAGAAAGCATCATGGTATGGTTGAATAAGTGCATTTGCTCAGTCACAAAGCAAGAGCTTGATTATCTGATAGTTCTACTGAAAGCCTCATTCTGTGCTTGTTAGTTCTCCTTTTTCTGAAAAACAATTAAAAGACAGAAACCACCCCAACCCTGCAGTCCTCTCCCTTATTTCGAAAGCACTGACTGAAGAACAGTGGCCAAAACAAAACAAAAAAGCAAGAACAGCCCATAAGAAGCCACAGGGCCCCACTGGAAGCAACAATCAGTCCTGCTAGAGAAAGTGTAGACATTAGTGCTCAGGCAAGACTGACTGTATTTTCACCATCTCACATCTGGGGGAGTGAATCATAGAATATCCTGAGTTGGAAGGGACCCACGAGGATCATCGAAGTCCAACTGCTGACCCTGCACAGGACAGCCCCAAGCACCTCACCATGAGTAGTCATGGAGCAGCAGGAAAGAAAAACAACTTTCACAAAGTGATTAGGGAGACTTAGGTCTGACAAATGGCAGCAAAAAACTCAAACAAATTATCAAGTTACTGTTTTGTTAAATAACAGATTTCCCTTTTCTTTGAGAAAGGAACATGAAATCTTCAGATAAGAAAGCTAGAAACTGTCACGGAGAATAACTTCTCCTGGTTTATTGTCACTTCAAAACACTTTCTTCATTTAGTTTATGCTTAGGTGACCTTCAGCTACTCTTTTCAACTACATGAATTTTTATTTTCATTATTTATAAAGTAATGCCATATTTAAAAGAACAACAGCAACAACATCTATCAGCTGAAATGAGACTGCTGGCAGATTTTGGTGCTAAAGCTGCAGAATATTCCCCTCAGACTTTCTTTTCTTTTGGCACAGTACCTGTGTTCGCAGAAACTGCACCTCTTCTGTAAGCAGCTGCTTCTCTTTGAAGAGCTGGTTCTGTTTGCTGAGCAACTCCACTAACTGCTGAGCAGTGGCCTGGCAGTGCTTGTCAAGCTGCTGTAACCTGTAAAAAAATAGATAAAAGGGTTGCAGAGCATCTGAAGTTGGAGTTCACGGTAGAAGCTTTGATGTTTGCACTGGCGGGTGCAGCTCCCAGAGGCCAGAGTTCAGGCTGGTGGTTGGGCTGAGACTAAAGTATTGCTCCTAGGATGAGCATTCAATGTATTTTCTCTTTGCTCCTAGGATGAGCATTCAATGCAATGTATTTTTGCACTTTGAACTAGCACTTTCAAAGGTCTACACTTTTACTTTAGAAGCCTTATCAGGACATGACAGCAAATTTGCTTTGCTGTGCCATCAGTAAAGTCTGCAGAACTGCAGCCTGACACCTGTGGCTACACATGCCATGCACTCGCTTCAAAACCATCTTCCCAAAGCACACACATAGCCCAGGTTATAAATCCAAACAGCCAAACTGGACCTGAAGTGACGAAAACTTTGGTTTTCTGATCGCTGCTCTTTGCAAGCGGATCAATGTCCGAAACTCATTACGGAACACAACATTTATTTTAAGTAAGCTTAGTGTTAATTAAGTGCATCAGCATAGATCCTTTAATAGCATAGCAGGGATTCCTGGGGAGAGACGTAAAGAGCCCATCACTCCAGAGGTCCTCCTCATTAGGGGCTGCAAAACAGAGGGAACAAGCTGGCAGGTATCAGAAGAAACACACAGGGGTCTTCTGCTTACACTGGAAAAACAAGTGCCTGAGCTGGGACAATGCTGCTGTAAGACAGGGCAACCACACAGCTCCTCCTTCAATCACAAAATCAAGTATCACTTGTTATGTCTCCAGTGACTTACTCCTGGCACCCAGAGAGAAATAATTTCCAAATCAAAACATTTTTTACTAGATAATCACAGGTAGTCCATGCAAATTTCAAAACCATTACTGGACACAAGCCTTAGTGTGCTCTGTATCTTTTCAGATCATGCAAAAGGCGATTCAGATAAACTACTGTAAACAGAAGAGTCTTTAATTATGGCAATACTACTCAATTATGCTTTTCTGTTCGTAACTTCACCACCCACTGTGTTACCTTTAGCCTGTCCCCTTGAGCAGAGGGAGAAATACAACACAGGCACTGAGCTGGGTTTCACTAGCAGGCCACAACTTCACCTTTATCACCCATATCTCCAGTGCTTGAGCACAGATTTAATAACATTCCAATCTACAATCCTGGGCCATGACAGATGAAAAGGGAGCAGTTCTAGTCAGTGCAGATCTGGATCCATGAATTCCCAAATTCTGTCTGCCAGTCTGCTCTCCCAAAACTGCTGCCAAGCTGGCCCTTGGTCCACACACTGGTACTCCCAGCCTGCTCTGGTGCATTTAGCTCCTGAGGACAGGCTCTGGGCCCTCTCACAGTATCTGCTATTACGTGTGACATGTGCAGCACAGCCACACATTCCCATATGCATTGTATCTGGCCTGCCTGCTGATCTCGTAAATGATTCAAGATGAGAAATGAACAGCTCCACCCACATTCACTGTACTTCCCATATGTTACAACTGCACATCGATGCCTGCCATCATTTTTACAACCGGGTGACAGAACCTTCTGCACATTTTGCTAATACAAGTGAGTGAGGTTGCACAGTCACTACGTTCACTTTGGCAACACCTCCTACCAGGCAAGCGTGTACCGTGTCCCGAGCATCTGAGTGACCAGTGTGTCCTCACCCTCCATTCTAAATGAGATCATTTTTCCACCAAAGGGGCAAGATCTGCCCAGCTGGGCTGTCAGGCAGCTGCTCCTCCTCGGCCTGGGAGTGTTGAAGGACAGGAACTGACTCCATGCTCTGTCGTGTTACTTCAAGGCACAAGGTGAAGACTTGCAGCTCTTGAGCTATGTTACGTTTGGACTACCCACAGGACAACCTGGCACTAAGGAATAAGCTTCCATTTAGTAGTAAAAATACCCTCCAAATAACTTCCCACTAATCACTTTAAACCAAAATTCCTATTTCTATATGGAAGCAAGAAATAGACAGTTTCATGAGATGAGTGATTTCACAGAAGGAAAACACAACTGAGGCATCACAAGCTGCAAGGCATCAAGGTAAATGTCTTACCCTCAGTCTTGGTACTTGGAGCTTGTATGCAGCTTTATGTTAGAACAGCTCCAAGCCACCTTTGTGCAGCTACAACATGCAGAAAACTCCATTTCTCAGTTCATACAGCAGTGAAATTTGGATCTGGGAATAGGCTATACCCTAGCATGTCCAGAAACGAAAGAAAAAGGGATACATAGGATTTTGTTACATTTTGACAGCTACGGCTAGACAGTGACTGCAAGACCCTGTAGAAACTAGGTGAAACATCAAATGCAACGCAGAGCTTTGGCTCCAAGGTGAATTCCAGCAGCAGAATCAACTTCCACTGCATCCAACACCACAAAGCTGTACTAGCACCCACTGTGTTACACTTCGATCATCCCCTTATCTGTGGCCTACAGATAAAGACAAAAGCTTCCTTCTTTCCTATGAAGAGACATTGCCAAACCAGGGGCACCCACCAGGCCCTGGCTGCAAGCTCCCTGCCCTGGGGGACCCGGGTCCATTAATCCACAGGCAATCCGCAGTGAAGGAAAAAGCTGACACAACCTGCCAGCCCTCCTCTGGGTTTTAACGTTGATTTGAAAGAAATTAATATGCAAGGATCTGTGGGCAGTGCCCATTCACCCTGCAGTGGGATCGGTCAGTCCTTGACATCGCAGAGACATTAAAAGGTTATTTACTCTTCCAGCATAGTCAAGTTACTGATGTAAAACGTTTTCACTTTACTCCGTGGAGCTGGATTTGCTGAAATGGCGTGATTGGATTGCAGCAACCTGCAGCAGCTAAATCACCAAATCCAATAATCATGCTGCATTTACTGGCACACATCTTAATTAGGTTTTAATACAAGTAATCTGATAACTACTTCTGGCCAGCCAGAGCAGGGCTGTCAGAGCTGAAAGGGCTGTTGTTGAGCAGCTCAGCCAGCGCGCTGCTGCGGCTGCCTCCCCGCTGACCCTGCTGAAGCCCCCATCTGCCAGTTGCCATGGCAATGCAGGCCAGCCCATCTCTGAGCAGTGGGTGCCAGGGCCATCAGGCACCCCACGGCAGGGTCTGGGGCACCACCAGCCACCCATGGGGCCACCAGCACTGGGGCCGCATCTCTGTGGGCAAGGGGCTGCTGGGGCATTGCTCCTGCTGCCCCCCAAAACTACCAAAATGAAAACCCATGAGAATATGTTACTGTGTAGCAAACTGCCTTTTAAAAAATCATTTCCCTTGTCAGGACAAGAGTGCCAGGCTATGAGGGTCTAAGGTTGCTCTGGCACTGCTGGTTTGTCCGTAGGTGGACACAGGGATTAGAGGTGGCTTCAGGTTCCGAGCAGGATAACTGAGGGCCATGTTGCAGACCCACCACGATGTGGAGACACAACTGATGGGGACTGTGCCCCAATATGAAGGCAGTGCCACATTTCATAATCAGCCACTTGCAAGTCCCAAATATTTTTAACACCCTGTGAGTTCTAAAAGCAAATGTATTTTTAAGAACAAGCTTGTTACAAATAGAAGGAACAAGCCCATTAGAAAAGAGAGAAAACCTCCACTTGCTTTTATATTTTTTTCAGAAGATCCTACATATTTAATATCATGTGATAGGAAGTGTTTAAGTTTTGGTACTTAACAGACAGTTGTACTACAACTCATTAAAGGATGTCAAAATCACATACTCAAGTAGTCAAGAGTTAGAAAATGCCAGAGTGAAGGGTCTCCATGCAATTCCTTCCCATCCTAGCTCCCAGCTCCGATGCTGTTCCCTGCCCGGCCCCGCTGGGCTCTTCCTGAAGCAACTACCCACCACAACCCTGCTAAACAGTTTCAGTCTAAACCACAATTCTTGGCAAGCCTAATGAAATCACAAAGAACTTCAGCAATGTCTTATAATAAGAAGCATAACACCCCTAAACACAAACTGACACACAGAGCAGGTGATCTCCTGCTGTATACAAATCAATGATCAGGCTTGCTTTGCTCTATGATGACCTTGGAAAGCCACACTTGCTGCCACACAGGGTTCAGGTGTACTCTTCAGTACCATTCAGCTGGTGCTCATGCTGAGCTTGTTTCTGCAGCCACAATAGCCCTGGCTGCTGTCACTCCCCACCTCTCTTGTGGGGATAGCAGCATGGATCCCTCTGCTTTCCGCTTCAACTCTGCTACTTTGCTGTCTTCCCTTTTCACAGCAGAGTGATTAAGGCAGAAAAATTTATATTCACCATCTCTTTGTATCTTGAATCAGCTCTGTGGACAACCAGGACATTGAAACCAATAATAGAATTAGTTCTTGTACGAGCAACCTGCATCCTCATTGTGGCTTAACAGCAGTGACAAACTCATACAGTAAATTAGAATCTATAAATTTAAAAATGCCACAAATGTCAAATTAAACCCCAAAGTTTCACTAGTGTCCTAAATTCCTATTTACTTAAGAACTTGACCCACAGACCGAGGTCTTGAGACAACCTTAAGTGATGGGCATCTCAGAGAAGCCCCGCACAGGCTCCCAAAATTTCAACAATTTCTTCACCTGGCTCATGTTAATGAAATAAAAAAAGCATAAGAGAAAAAGGACACAGAAGAAAAGGCCACCCTGTAACAGTGAGCAGAAACTAGGCATAGTGAATAAACCTCATTTCTGTCACACTGACAGTCCTGAGTTCTAACAGGCTACAGGGAGATAGTTCAGGGCACATGAAAAAATGTTTCTGTGGGATTTCCCACCCTCTGATCCCTATCAGAATTCTGTTGCCACACAAAAGGCCAAGACTGTCATTTGTTCAGGCAGAGAAGACCTATAGCACTTCAAGCTTAGTAAGGTAAGCACTTGCCCACGCTACAGGCAGAACAAACTCATCCAACTTCTGCTAACAGATGGTAACTACAAGTTAGTATCCCTTGCACAGTTTGGAATCAGACACCTAAGAAGAAAATGTCCACATTTCACCATG